ATCAGACATTGCACGCTGTCAACTGTTTTTTCAAGACCGGAAAATGTCATATTCTTATTTGTTTATCTCCAGACCTTGTCAAATGCCTCCATCTCGTAATTAGAAAGACAAGACGATTTTTTTCATATTAATTGACCAATCACAAGACAATGGTGACGTTGAATTTTGAACTTTATGCTAATGGAATAGAATTTCAAATGCAAAGTTGTGTTGTGCTATCCACAACTTTTTTGAAATATTACTTTTCGGTGACGAAGCTATTCTTATGATAGCCGTGTTTTTTGTTTATGCCCTAATGCTTGGAGTGTGTTAGGTGATAAGTTTAATTTGTGTTGATACGGATCAATGTTTTGGTTTTAAATCATTTCAATGTAGCAGCGAAGTATACAAATAAAATAAATTATTTAACTATGAATATCCATATAAAAAAATGGTAAGTATGAAATTGCTACCAGTTCCCAAATCAAGGACGTAGAGCAAGCGTGAAATAGTTTATTTATCCCAAGGGCGGATCTACGAGATCGTCACTCAAACCCTTCACAGTACGAACAAATGTTAATTTCGAATATCGAAACCAAATCCATTCTAAGTTCTGCAATCAAGAAAAGCATGCTAACTCCTTAGCATGCTTTTCAAAAACTATTCATATTCTAACTTTATTGGAATGTTAAAGATAATTTAATTTATTTTGTAATTTAATCTACAAGTTTTTGTATGTATGTCCGTGGTGAACCACATAACGCGCGTGCGCATCGCGTATCGATTACGAGATTGATATTTATCTAATTGGGATTGAGAGGTGTAAGGAACTTATTGATTAGATTTTCTATATCTTGTTTGTATTATAAATATTAGAAATATATAGACAGAATAACGCTAGGAATAATTGTAATGTTAATTATCAATTATTATTTTTCTTAATGTTTTGTAAGAGCAATGAGAATAAGTGCGAATCCTCAGTTTATATTTTCTTCTAAATGATATATGTAGTTTATGACTGCGTAAAATACCTATTTGCATGTAACATCGTGTAGCCCGAACGGTACGATGAGTAAAATCTTTAAAAAAATAAGTACATTGTTGTAGGAGTTAAAAATAATTATTTTATTTTGGTCTCAAACATCAGAGGACAATCAGATACTTATGAAAATATGTTTTAGAAAGGATATACACGGCAGAAAATGACATGCGAACTTAAGAATCTGCAGCGCTAACCAGATCCATGCAACTTCCTCACAATCAACTATCAAGTAGCCCGCAATATCGCAGCACACAATTCACGACTCTTTGTATGGAAGAAGTCGCATGGGTCTTGTAAATTATAAATGCGTTCTTCTTATTTGGTACACTCTTGACAGAGCGGCGTTATCGCTATGTAGTCATATTAGAAGTGGCAGATGTAATGCTCTTTACGACCTTTCGCCACCGTTGGCTATTAGAGGTCATCCTGATGCACTTATTGGGTGAACCTCCTACGGCAGACTTGATCTGGTCAGTGACCTTCCGCGCGGTCTAGTGCCTTCCACCTTCCCTTGGACAACAAGGCGTTATATGGACTGACATCACGCCGCGATACGTGTTCGAAGTATGTCAGGAGGCGAGATTGTACTGTTAAGAACGGACGCTGCTTACAGAGTTCTTGAAGTATCGAGACGTTTATACGAAACTCGGTCCACGAAACCACAAGCATTCTCCTCCAGCACTACATTTCCAGAGCGTCTATTTTCTGCCTTTCCACATCACGCAAGGTCCACGTTTCAGCCGCGTATACATATATGTATTTATATAAATCTAAAATAATATGTACGAAAAAATGGAACCTACTTGTTTCTATTTCTTCTAAACACATCAAAAATAATGTATAATAAAAGAAGTGTCAACAAAATTCGTTTTAAATTTTGTTTCCACATATCGACATCTTAAATTCCTGATATTTTATCAACAAATAAATTTAGCGTGTCCTCCAGGGAATTGAGTTATTTTAAGCCTAACTGTACAGGTAGTATCAAACTATAATCCATTGCAATCTAAACCTTATTACCATGCACAAGAGTTTTAACTTCCGCATATTAAGTGCTGCCGGTTGGTGGTCGGTTTTTTTATTAAAATGCTTTTATCCTAATACTTAAATGGGCTCTGACCATGTTTACAGAACACAATACCAGATTATAAGTTATCTGTTTTGTAAATTGTATTACGGAAGTATCAATTTCTTTAGACTTTTTTGTGCAAGGTTGAATAAGCGTCATTGGCGCGTTTTATTTGGTCAAAACCACAGATAACACATCTACCTATATAGGGTGAGATTCAGAAATGACACTAACTCCTGCCTTGCGATTCTGTAACTCACTTTTAGAACTCGCACAGCGGTTTTCGCAGCGGCGGTCGCGCTCAAATCAGTCGTGAAGCAGTCATTTTACGATTTGGCATTCTGATAAGGAGTGAGCTTGTGAACTCGAAAAGTGAGTTACAGAATCGCAAGGCTGTATGTCAAAATCCAATACATTATGACGTAGGGGAGTCATACTAAGCGTTAATTCCTGATGTATGACCGGCACATAATATATTTTCTCTTCAAAGAAAATTATTGGTGAAATAGACTGTGTCTACCCGGGGGAAGAGGCCTCACTCAAAACATTTGCTGCGAATCGCTTGACCTTTGATTAATATCTATGTAATATACCGTAACCACTAAGCCACAGAGGCAATTCAAACTAAGCAAGTTTGTGAAAAAAGTTTCTTTATTATCAAAAGTATCAATGAAGACCAACATTGTGGAAGCATCGTTGTGAGCAGTTTTGACAGGTTTATTGTTTGTTTTGAGGATTAAGAAATCTCTTTTGTTCGCCTGTGACTTACACCTGAGCAATGTTAAACTGTGACAGAATAGTAAACAATATGTACCTATGTCCAAGTTTCATTTGAATAAAAATTGCTAGAAAATTTTATGGTATGTTGCGCGAGTTTGTGTTTATTTATTAACAAAAATATTATGCAAGTAAAAGTAGTTTTTTGTAATATTACCACCAAACCTATATATTAAATTCACTAAGTACTTTTTTTAAACACAAGTAGATGTGGCTCTGATGCAAAAAGTCGAGAAAACTGCTGCTGCGAGACCAAGCGGGGAATGGGACACTTGCTGACGCTGCACGGTACGAGTCGAGTACAGCAATAATATAGTAAATAAATAATAGTTTTAAAAACTAGAACACACGCTTTTAAAGCACATCAAACTTAAAAGTGAAAAATAATTCCTAATTTAGGCTGAAAATGGTTGCTCGATAGACGAAAAATATGGCACAGGGCGCCCCACGCTTTTTCACAATAATACCAGTATTTTTTGTTCATTACCATTTTCAGCCTAAATTAGGAATTATTTTTCACTTTTTAGTTTGATGTGCTTTAAAAGCGTGTGTTCTAGTTTTTTTAAACTATTATTTATTTACTATATTATTGCTGTACTCGACTCGTACCGTGCAGCGTCAGCAACTGTCCCATTCCCAGATGTAGGCAATATAGGACAAAATAATATTATCTACCAAATCATGCCATCAATTAAGTAAATAAAAATCATTGCATATCAACGTTGTCACCTTATCCTGATTTTAGAGATAAAGATCTTGCCTGTCTGTACTATCATAATATATTAGCAATTAATCAATTTTTATTTAATTTCTTACAAGGTGAACTTATCGCTAGATGATAGTGACTTTATCGTGCTATTTGTGAATGTTTGTAAAGTATGTTCAAATTTTAAAGTTATTACTCCGTGATAGGTGGTATATTCACAACTTAACCACTTAAATTTCTACACGTCTATTCTGTCAAATTGTGTTTATCCTGTGATGAAAAGAGATAGAAGAGTTTTTTAATGAAGAAGAAAGTCTTTACAAGAAAACAATATCTATTGTACATGAATATGCTTCTAAATGAGGAATAAATAATGACAATTATGCCTATGCCAACACGAAAAGCTCTTGACTTGTCGGACATTCAACCCGTCTTAGTATTTTTTTTTTAATAGAATAGAGTGTACTCGCGTTCTCACAATTGTGACTACATATATCGTAAAAATATAAATTTTGACATCATTCGTCGTGGTATCATAAAAAAGTCTGATTTCTTTAATAGCTCGTGTAATATTTTGCTAAATAATATAAGTACGACATTTTCGTGCGCATTTGCGTGATTATTCGTTTAGGAACTTAAGAATATATTCTTAATGTAACATTATAATGTAAATTTAGTTAAAGGCGCTTATTAAGGCTTTATTCGTTAATTTGTGGGTTGTTTTTACCCTATCTTACCTACTTTTTGGCAGAGGGGTTTTTCAAATATACTAGGTATAGTTGAATATTTGTATCGGGATGCAAGATTTCACACGATTCTGGCTTTATAGGCTTTTACAAATTCCATACTTTTATTGTTACACCGTGGGAATTTGGTGGTTTCCAGTTCCTTATATTACTAAATGTATAAAATAAGCTCTTTAATACAAAACTAGGGTTTTATTATACAACGTTTATTTACAATATACAATCTAGAAGACATCTTTATAATAATTTGGCAACTTTATTACACTTTAAGATGAACACTTTCAGTATTATAAATAAAACCTATGTAAAATAATTATAAGTAGTTCATTGATTTCCCATTTCACAATATTAAGTCTTGAATCATTATTTAATTACGGTGTGACAGGAGCCCTGATACACATACCAACTACACACTTTATCAAATTTATACGATTTATAGACCGTATTATCACAATAGTTTAATAAAATTAAATTCCTCTGAATTAAATGTTTCGACTAATCACCCAGCGTGGTTAAAATGTTAAAATGCGATACTCAAATTGCTGATTAATATTTAATTAATCTTTTAATCTTTACGTGGTAAATTTAAGTTGTTTTTTAACTATAACTGCTATTAAATATAACTTCATCTAAATGTAAATACATCATTATATAATTCATAAATAAGCTAAATAAAATAATTTATTGTATATTCATATGTGTACGTTGAACAGTAGCCCTAAAACCGAATTTGTCGTCAGCTGTGTAGTGCACAGTGCGTTGTTTGCCGTCAGGATCGACAAATGTGTAGTACCCCTTCACTGACCCGCCATTCCGACTCTCGTGCGCTGATTTTGAGTCGCCCGTCTTCTTATCCTGGAATACGATATTGAATGAGTTTATTTTTTTTAAAAATATTGAAAAAATCTTGGCGTAAATATCAATATGTATTTAATATAAGGAATACAAATCACCTTTTTACATAATAAAATATTGCTTGAACTGACCATTCGGAAGCATAAGGATTGTCTAAAGAAATCGATGAATATCTTAACTATAACGTCTTTAGCACTTCCAAAATTATCATAATAAACTCAAACTCAAACTCAAACTCAAACTCAAAATATCTTTATTCAAGTAGGTAACCAAGTACACTTTTGAATCGTCAAGTGGGATCGTCAATAGGATCTGCATAGCTCGTATGTAAATAAATTATGGTTTAATTCTGCTATAAGACCAATCAATACAAATCACCAATGTTCTTATTTAATAGTTTTAAGTACAATAGACAGTTCCATTTAAATAAATTTTTAAAAACTTCGATAATTTGCAACTATACGTTATATAATTATGACCACACTATCGTAATATCCTAGTGTTGCAGAGATTTTTCGCAATATTTTGGAGATCAAGTGTGTCATGACGCGATTAGCGTATTAAATATTGCAAGATTTTAATACTTTATAATATGTCCTTGCTAATGAGTAACTCAGCGAAACTAAAGACAATTGTCAAAGTCAGATGCCGCATCATGTGACGTGCGCTGTGCGTGAATGAATTTTGAAAAAGTAACAACACAGTAACTGTTAGAATCTTTTAACATTATATTTTTTGTAGAATATATCACGCATACGACATAGTTGGAATCTGTAATTACTAAAAAATAACTGATTAATAAATACAATCATTGTAAGGCGCGTTTTCCAAAACGTCTTTAACATCTATGTCAAGAGCTGTCAAACCATAATTTCTATGCGTTAAATTCGGGCTTAAATGTCGTAACGAGAACATGATTTTGTTGCCTACGTATTTAAATTTGCTATAATATTATAGTCAAGACCTTGACATTGAACTAGATTACTATGGCTCTGGTGTAACGGTGCGATCTTGATTACAATATTTGCAATTTAGAGATACCAAAATTTCATAACCTGCCAACAAATTTACCAGCCTGGTGGACGTAATAAACACATTAATATAGCCATAATAAAACATACGCACCATTGTGGGAACACATTTCCAAAATACAAGATAAGCGTTTTGGTTAGATTTTATCAACCGTCAGAATGTTACAAATTTTAGTATGATAAATCTTTATACCAATTTTTTTAGTATATACAACTATTAGTAAAAATTCAGTACTAATAACACAAATTTTAAAGTAAGAGAAATTTTATCAGACACTAACATCCTACTTGAGCGGGAGTTTTTTTATATTTTCCTGGCGACAAATAACAATCACTGCGAGAACGTCACTGTATCGCCCTAACAAAGTGTTACGATCGCTAAGCATGATATATACTACTAGCTGACCCGGCAAAAATCGTTTTGCCACGTATATTATTTCTAGGAAACATTTTTTTAGTTTCTATAAAAATAACTATCTACTATAATAAAAAATAGGGGTTGATCGTAGAGGGGTGACAATTAAGGGTTGTATGTATTTTCAAGTTCAAGTCAATGGTTAGACTGGTTGAAGATGGATCCTCCCTATAGGATGGATTCCAGTCAATTTTCATACACACCCTCATTGTGATATAAGTAACTAATCCGTTTTGTGGCCAATATGTAAAAATTAGGTTTTACTCGTATGTACACGAATATAAATACGATAAAATTAATTCCTAATATAAACTCACTTTCGCTCACTTTCACCGTATATGCGTATTCCGGTAGAGGCCTTGCGACGCTCATGAATATATTAGTGATTTGTATGTCACGAGATATTGCAGCCTTGCCTGCAGTCATCATTGTCGAACACAAGGGCTTCGTACACCTTCCTCTTCTCCTATTAAATCTCAATCTCTTGTAATTTAAAATTTCATTAAAAGATCGCAGCGTCGACACGGCGTCTTTTTGTTTCAACGACAAACCTATTTATCGCTCAAAGAACTATAACTAATAACGTATGATTTTCACCCGTCAAAAATCTATAATATATGATTTCAGAATTTTAAAATAATCTTAACATATCGTATTATTGGACACGTTTCCTACTACAACAACTTAAAGATAAAATTTCTATAATAAATCGTGGCAATAAAATATCTCGTAATATGTTACACAACTATAATTTGTATTTAAATTAGATAAATACCGTTTATTTCTAGTCTATTGGTCATGCTATAACGATTCAACATTCTTAGAAAATATTAAACATACACAGTACAGCTCTAAGTATCACTTCCTTATGTCAAAACGTATTTTGACAGACGAGAGCCCTGGTTAAGTTTCGATCCGTATCTTAATGTCAGCCAATTATTAACTCATTGAAATGGTATGCAGGCTAGCCCTACTGAGTCAAGGGTTCGTTGGTGGAATGGAACTGTGAATTTGGACACTGGTTCAGCAAGCAAAAGGTCTGGTCCAAACTTCCAATATTGACAGCGATACAACACCCGACGTTTTTGTATGCAATCTCGATGTGGTCTCTCAATATTCGTTGTGCTAATGTCGCGCGGAACAAAAACTCAATCTTGAGATCGGAATAGCTAGTATCTATTGGAAGTTATAGAATACTGGTGCACCTTGTTTCTTGACATCTTTATACGATAACCAAAATAGTTTCTAGTAAAGCGGAAGCCTAAGTTTTTAATAGCAAGGTTATTTTATTAATTACACTTCCCCATTAATTTTATTTGACAGTTTAATGCTGTCATGAATTATAGGTACAATCTCTTCCTGAATCACCTGATGACCGATCTTCCTACGCCATTTGACAAACGTCAAATCAACGATTGATATAAGATCAGTCCAGTTACATTTTACTGTTTGTTTCGGTAATCTGCTAGTTTCGAGCAAGAGAGTGAGAGCGCGCTATACCCTGGTTCAATAGAGGTGTTGCCGTCTTCAAGCCTAAGGACTGGCTTGGTTCGGTTCAGGTAATCTCCCTAGTGAGTTTAGATCTGATTTGAGGCGCAGAAATATCACCTTTGCTCTGCATCCTCCGAATCGTCCTCCAAACTATTTATGCCGTTGTTATTTCTAATGATTCTATATAAAAGGAATCGTATCTTGTTCTAAGTTCGTTATTATAAGGCCCGTGTAGTGTAATAATTAAATAATTATAGCGGAAAATACTACACACCTATCACACAAACATAACTGACACAATAACGAGTACATTTCTGTTCGTCAGGGAGCCACTAGGCGAAACTGCTCTACAGTTAGTTTAGCTTTAATATTTTTTGTATATAACCGTGGAATATGTACCTCGAAAGAGTATCTAGTCACACATACAGGCACGAGGGACATCTAGAAAGATATGACAAGCGAATATCAACGGTTTCAAAAAAAAATTTTATAAAAAAAAAATAGAACGCACCTAAAAATTTAGTTTGCTCTCATTCTGTTTCTCTAAAGAATGATACAATATTTTCATTTATTTAGATATTTTTGAACACAAGTCACAAAGTGGTGGTAGAAGGGAGAAAATTAAAGGTTATATATTATTTTTTATGCCAAATCATAAATTTGGAGTGGGCCACCCTCATCACTTTGAGGTATAAAAATAGTTCACGACCTATTCTCGGCGCTATCGTTCACTATGACACGAAATTTAATATTATGTATATTACATTTCGATGATAAGGTAGTAACAAGTGGTCTCTGTCTACCACTGGAGAACAATGCCCCTACTCTCCAACCCAATAGAGAAACATCGATACCGATTCCGAATGTTGTTATTGGGTTAATGTAGTTATCTAAATATTCGATGCAAAAACTATTTATTGGGATAGGGATCGACGTCGGTATTATTCAGACTACGGCCTCTTGCATTATTTATAACAATTACACGGTTTAAAAACAAAATATCTTGAGATCTTTGAGATTATAAGTAATTCTATGTAGATATAAAGATATGTAGAAAGTATGATTCGTATGTTAGTTTTTACATGTTCTATTGTTTATCTGTTAATTATGTCCATTGTCGCATTGTGTTTATTATCCAGCAAATTCATCATTATGATGTTATTTTTATACAAATACGCGAGTATTACTAATATGCTTGACGTTTATCGTCACAGAACTTGCAATATTAATTACGTTCTACCTAACTTGCAATATTAAAAAGTTTTAATATATTTTTGTTCGTAACGATATTAAATAATAAAAAAAACGTGTGTGTACTTATGTACACGCGTTAGAAGTTATACTTCTTTGGCGTAACAAGATAAAAATCTTTTAAATATTTTTATCTTTCGCTTTATACGTTTGTAGAAAAAAACGACACTAACAATAGAAAAAACGAAACTAAACTTCAGGGTGTCGGGTTTTTGTGACTGTGTGCGCGCGCATCGTAAATAATATTTACTCTCATCATTTTTCCCTAACGCGCCAAAAGAAGTATAACTTCAAAGACTGGACTGAGACCAAAAATTAATTCACTATTATAATGCTCCGTTATACTTAAGTAACATAGGCGACATAGGCCGCTTGATCATTATCATGGCTCTACAATACCTACTTGATGAGTCTCACTTAGAACCACTAGGCCCACACTCCTCTATCAGTTATTATAAAATAGTCACAATAATATGTTAAGTTTTTCAAAGTAGTCTGTTAGATAGATATCAAATATATTTTAACAATTACATTGTGAAATTATTTATATATAAATTATATATTTAAATACTGAAGTAGATTACGATGTAATTATAATTAATTTGCTAAAATTTACCTTATTATTTTAAGAATGAAATAAAAGTAATATTTCAAGGACACAATGCACGTGCCATTTCCTTAAATATTCAATTTATTATTTATTTAAAATAATAATAAAAGTGAAGGTTTAATGTCAATTAACGAATAACTTTTAATTTTGTGAGGTATGTCAAAAGGCGCCTACAAATATATCAAATGTTTTAACTGTTTCAAAAATAATTTCAGCAATGGTTATTAAACCAACGCCAATCAAAACCAACGCTTAGCTGTGGAGGCTGTGGAGCCTTGTAAAAACTGCTAAGCTTCTGAACGACCCTAAGTTATTGGTAATACCTCCAAGTAACTGGTCGCATAAAACGCGTGTAATTCCCCTTAAAATGCTTGGTTGTGAAGCAACTCTCCTGCAATTATTTTATTAATATTTCAATAGACTGAGACAATAAAAAAACAGGTTTAGGACATCAATCCGCACTTCTTTAATGTGGACAATGCCTGATTCCCAGGAGAAATTAATTATGAAATTTTGCTTGTCAAGTTCAACATGAAAAATTTAAAACATTTTATGACTTACATGCACTCCATAAGAGAACGTGTACTGTGGATGAGAATCGTAAGGCCGGTCATTTAACTCAACATTCTGGGTATAATACGCCTGATTCACTGGACCTGGAACTCTTTGCAACCTATATGGCTCTAATATACCACTTTGTACACTCTGTTTCAAGTCTGAGCCACGGAAGTCAGGGAATAAGTACTTTGTGTTTGGGTCCTGCAAAAAGAGTTTTTCTGGCCTATATTTAGCTGGATATGGTTGGAATGAGGGTTGTGATAAAATAGGCTGATATTGGACTGGCTGGGGTAAAAATTGCTCTTGCTGCTGTCTGATTGGTGGAGGCTGTATCGGTCGTCTCAAGGGCTGTAATTGAGGACGGGTGGGCTGTTTCAATCCAGTGTATTCTTCTACAGTTTTGGGGAGTTCCCGAATTGGTTGACTGAAGTCTGTATTAACAAATCGTTCCACTTTAGCCCGTTCTTGTTCTGGTAGTTTCGTGTCTGCGTCGTCGATGTAGGAGACCAGAGCTTCTTCGAGTGTTTTATACGTGTTGTATGCGTATTCTGGGCCCTTTGCCCCTGGACCTGTATCGTCGTATCTGTTCTCAAGGGCGAATCTTCTTTGAGATTCTGACGCTGCTGAGTAAGGTGCCTGGGTGTTGACGGCTACGCCCAATGTGACGCTAAGTATCTGAGAAATTAACGATATTATTGCAAGTTTTAACGACAATTTTTTTAGTTAATTAAAAACCCTCTCGTAGTAGTATGTCGTAGCTTTTAACTAACTTGTTTAAAAAAATGTATGCTAATGAAACAGATACAGAAATCTGAGACGCGGATCTTAAAAACTTGTGATAAACAAGAAATTACAGAAAACTTTCTCAAATCAGTAAATTATTTGATTATTCATAAATTTTACGTTGTAAGTATATCGAAATACGATCAAGATTGAGAAGAGAAAGTTACAAAAATTATATAAACGAATGTTGAGTAAACTTTCTTGTTTTTCTCATTTTAATTGAATTGCTCAAAATTGAGCCGAAAACGTAAAAAATACAATAAGTATTATGATGGAATCACGTGTAAAAAATATTTATGTAAGAATCTTATATTCGCGATTTAATTTCAAAATACAACTTACAATAATTCGCAACATTTTTAAAACTTGTAACACTAACACAGATAAAAAATAAATGTCAAAATTGGCGCGCTTCAAATGCGGAACACCGTCAGCCGCGGCGGAGTCGCACGGCGAGTGACCACTGTTTAAACAATCAATCAGTTAATGCAAAAAAGTTTTATTCGCTACGATTCCGGACGTTGCAGAAGCATGCGGAAGAAAATGTGGTATTTTAACGTATTACTTTTTTATTCCAAATAATTAACATATAAGGATTTTACATTGGATCATTAATCTGAATTTAAAAATTATCGTCCTTGTTGATTGGTTTCTCTTATACAGTGTTGGCCTCGTGGATACAGCGAGCAACTCTTATCCCTCTTATTCGGTCCCCAGCTGTGCACCAATGGACTTTCTGTCTATGTGCACTGGCTCGTACGATGAAGGGAAACATAGTGAGAAAACCGGCATGTCTTAGATTAAAAAAAAGACAAAAAGTCCGATGCGGCAACACAATTTAGGTAATTTGACTACATAGAAAAAAATATTAGTTAAGTATTTTCTGTGACCGTAAGTGTTATATAGTATCTAACCTGTAAACTGTAACGAGGTTTAATAACTGTATGGGACATTGTTTTGTATTATTAGTAACACTGGTTTGCGTATTGCGTTTATAAATTTTTATGTAAAAGGCAACTATCCTTTAGTCTAGATAATATATGAGAGAAATATAGCATTTTGCATTCATATTTAAGAGTTGTACTTCGGTGCCAGCATAATTTATTTTCTGTGCGCAGCAATGCCGATGCCTTTGGACATCACAATTCAAGAATAGTCTGGTATGAGATAGCCACATAACTTTTCGCGCGCTTTAATCGTCAATAGAAATGAACTGGAATTTACGATAGTATTTTCATCTATATACACCGGAGTTTCTGTACTCGACGAAACTCTCTCAAAACTGTTTCTACTTCATATCCCATTACTATGTTACGGAACTAAAACAACAGATCAACCATATTTTATCAAAATGCTTATAAACATATACATTAACATTGTAATTGAAACACTAACAAATGCGCTTAGAATATATTTACCAAGTCAAAGGTAAAGACACAAAAGGCACAAAAGGCACAAAATACATAATGAATGCGAAGGGCTAACCGCTGTACAGTCGTTTATTAAGAGCTAACGGTTACTTAAGATTTTTATAAGTTCACGATAGAAACGGAGACTGAAACTGGTCTTCAATGCCCTATGCTTTCCTCAACGAAACAAGTAGGGTGTTTTATTTAATATATTATTATACATATATTATACAGTAGTCAGCGACTACCCGATTCTTATATTCACAAGGGGTGCGAGTTTGCAAGTGCTAAGAAAACGTTTTGTTGAATTTAAAATATTTTTTTTTTTAATTTTATGAATTTAACGTATCAATTAGAATTGAATAGTAGGTACTTTCTAGTAAAGTGCACTTTTTTATTGAGATGGAAATTAATATTTTAACATTTTGTTAATAATAAGTAGCAGTTTACATATTTAACCTATTTAGCTATATCATATTTAGAAACGAATAAATTTTTGTTTATTGGAGATATCAGATATCTACGTAAACATATTATCTCATATTTTTTAATCAAAATCAAATTTAGGACTAAGTCATTATTTTTGCATTTTTATATAAAAGTTTGCTAATTAATAGCAAAAAATAATAACATCATTTAATTTTCAATTGCATAACAAAATATGCCACGAAATAAGTTAAGTAACTCGTCCTACTTTACTTGACATGATCTCACGTGATTTCTTTGTTAATGAGATTGGCTCAAACACAAGTCTATATTGTTTTTACTGTAGATCTAAGATACTTGTATACTAACATTTTAGAACTTAGACAACTTGAATGCAGTATCTGTTATAACATCATATTTTTATTTTATTATATTATTTAAAATGCAAGTTCAATTCATCATTAAATTGTTATGCGACTTTCATTCTAATTAGGTAATATAATAATATAATTAAGAACAAATAATATTGTATAATTATGGTTCTTAGCTTTTAATAATATATAAATTATTTTTTTTTTTTATTTTAAGTTTATTTTTATAATTAAAATGGTTCCTTATAAATGTTTGTAAAAATTTTTTTTTTTAAAAATATTTCTGTAGCTTTTTCTATGTGTTCTCTTATGTTTTTTTTTTTGGTGTCCTTTTGAAATAAAAAAAAATAATATATAACCAAAAGATAAAAAAATTTAAACAAATAATTAGAATGAAATTATTTCATAGTAATCGAAAAGTTTGCTGTAACGTTTATTATAATGAAAATGGGGTAGACTTATACCATGCCCACGTTTGACCTTTCCCAAAAAAAATAATGTCGGGATTCTAACCTAACACCTCTATTTACTAATACTAAGCCTTCCCAAGGCTGTTTTGCGCTTGAATATTGAAGGCAGTTCTTCAGTGAATACCATTTAAACATATTTTTGTGGCATGGCTCGTGGTAAGCAAATCAATTTAAATTAATGTTGATAATAGTTATGTATAATTTTATTTGTTTTTTAAAATTGGGTAGTGTGGGTCTATGTAGTAGGTGCGATACCCGAGCACCAATAGCCGCGTCCACACCGAACGATCCATCGCGAGCCGATCGCGCGCGGCATGAGCGCGATCCAAATGTGCAGGCGGTGTGGGGTTTCTATGTGCGCATTAAACCCGCGCTCGTCCGGTGAAGGAATACATCGCGCGTCAACCGAGCATGGCTTAGAATTAAAAAGTCGACGGCGTGTGTCAGGTATGAAGGCTGATCACGGTTATTAGAAAAAACAAACCATCGCGAAACAGATACAAAAATCTAAGGCCCAGAACTAAAAAGTTGAAGCGCCACTGCTTTCTTCTTCTTTATAATTGGAGGTATAGTGTCTCTTCTTCTTCTTTTCTTAGTCGTAATAAAAATTATAATTTTTGTATCAAATAACTCATAGCAACAAAAGGCGTTATATCATTTTATGTTGTCATGTTAGGCGCCAAACGCGACAAAATTACGTGCGCGAAGTCACGTGGTAGACCTTCTCAAAATTCAAATTTCATCGCGCTTAAATGTCTTAATTCAAAATTAAATTTATGTTAAAACTTTAAGTGAAATCTCAGACTTCCTGAATACATCATCGGTTCTCACATGCCTACAAGGTTCTTCATATATTTAAGTGAAAGTAACAACATGCAGAACAAATTGCTTCAAGGTCACGTAGTAAATTCCACAGCACTCGTGATCAATGAAGACACGCCTTTGTTTGAGGTCAATTAAACAGACCTTCAAACCAAAATCAAACACTTATGTTATACATTTTAATTAGCTTTTTTTAAATTTGCAATATTTACAGGCCTTAAAAGTGTTTCAGTCACGTTTCCTCAATGGGACGGAAAGAGTTGTACGTCTAGGCTACAGAAATGTTCTGGTTGCTTTACTGAGGTATAACATGCCAAAATTTTAAACATATTTCATAAATAAATAAGGAGAATGTTGTATCCCATCACAAAGAACATGTTTTTCGGTGTTATGAATTACGTAGAATTTCATTTTCCACCTTTTTTCTTACATATACAGGATTGTCAAAAAGTCGTGGATCAAACGCAAATAGGAGATAGAATAGGTCATCAGCTGCAAAACATTGTTCTACGTTAGGTCTCTAAGCTCAACCCCTGCAGAGTTATAATTAACAGTACCAATCTAGTAGATATTATGAAAAAGATACAGGATGTAGATTTTTTCGAATTTTAATAAGAATTAGTAAAAAAAAGTCAATTTTCTTATAAAATGCAAAATAAATTATAACTCTGCAGGGGTTGACCTTAGTTAGAGACCTACCGTAGAACAATTTTTTGCAGCTGATGACCTCATCTATCCCCTATTTGCGTTTGATCCACAACTTTTTGGCCACCCTGTATATTTTCTTTCGATAATTCCCCGACTATATTGTCATCGAAGGTATTAAATTACTTATGTGCGTATAGATTTTATCATAAGCAAATAATACTTGTAACTAGTATGATTAAGAACTAATTTATTTCTGTTTACAACTTTTTCAATTATTTAAATTTTCTTAATTCTTTATACATTATTTCTTTGAGGTTTTGTCTCTGTTATGTTCATTCCTATAATTTATTTAGTGTTGTACCTGTCGCAGCCATACATTGGATAGTCAGTACAGGAGTAATCCTCCTTAGATCAGTACCTAAACAAAATGGAAACCCGGAACCCAAAAACCGATGATCCACAATACCGCGGCTATTTTAATATAACACATAAAGTGTATAAGTAAAGTATGTAAATGTGCTAAACCACTTCAGAACGTCTTAAACCGGAACATTATGATAAGCTTTAAACATTTACTTAGTATTTATCTAACCTTAACCTAATATGATCAATAAAAGATCAACCAATTGCATACAATTAATAACTGGCTATGAATGAATAATGGTTATTGGCCGGCAACAACCATAATTGTTGGGTTTGTTAGCCGGAACATAATGATCAAATATAAAGCAAGGTCAACATTGATTTTTGATTACAAAATATTGGTCTATATTCGTCTAACATAAGAGTTACAAATAACGGAAATATTATGATATCCAAATAATCCATTGAACATTGTAATTCTAATGGCAATATAACGAAAATTCTGGAATATCATTGCAAATCTGTCTCGTAGTTAGTAGGTAGTAGGGCTTATAGTAAAAATAACCAATATACCAGACACAATCTCTAATGCTATTTAGAGATTATTGTGTTGTAATTTTAGCTTGCAAGCTTCCTGCAGAGCTTCTTACTGGTCATCTCTCTCTATTAAATGCCTGCCAGGGATCAAACTATTAAAATATGATTGTTTTTTAATAGTAATAAAGTTTTTTATCGTTATCTGTTACCCGATATTAAATTTGAGTAATATTAATTATTGCATAACATTCCGTTGTGGTCATACTGACCGGAACCGCCAAAATTGTTTTCATTATTAAAAATGGCAATACCGACAAGGCTACCTTACGACTTATTACGTTATTTTTCGATTATCACACGGGAAAAGTATAACATTGTAATAACTTGGTTACAAAACAATTTACTTTGGTTTTTTTTCTAAGTGGCGTTTGAGTTTTTGATGAGCTAATAAGCTAAACAATAATGTTACACAGAAGGATAAAGACGCAAGGAAGAAGTGGCATTCTTGGTTCCTTGCATCTTTGTAAGTTGTTACATAGACAAAAGTTCTTAATTTTAAATTGTTACACTACAAGTTTTTTAATTATTATAAATTACTAGCTGACCCGGCAAACGTTGTTTCGCCATGTATATTTTTTTTTTTAGTTCAATAAAAATAATTATCTACTATAATAAAAAATAGGGGTTGTTTGTGGGGAAATTAGGGGTTGTATGTATTTTTGTATGCTGTATCATAAAAAAATAAAAACAGAATTTTTGGGTGGAAACTTAGGGGGTTGAAGATATGATAAAATCGATATTTTGACGGACCCTCCCCAAAAAATATTTACAACTGTATTTTTGTATGCGTAGTATTCTTTTAAAAAGAAATTCACAATAATACAAAAGAAATAAGGGAAAATTTTCC